CGCTGGGATGGTCGGATTTTGTCAACATCAATAAAATGCCAAATAATCATACGTAACTCGTTAAATATCGAAATTAGAAGAAAAACAACTTTTATTTGAAGCATTTTTCGAAATTTTGAAGAAAAAAATTTTTCGTCAACGTCAATACTTAATTAGATATTTCCTTCTATACTTTTTAGCACGTAGCTATTTATTATTAGCATTGTTCTTCCGACGTCTGATTTCTTTTTATTTATAGGAAATGCGTTTTTCTAAAGCACATAAACTTTTGGGATTTACTGTATAGCCAATACATCCTTAATTCGCCCCGCTACTTGCATCGCTCTCTGTATATTAATCATTCGGTTAAACGACATTAACTGATTTTTATATGCCGGGGATAAATGTTGCGATAAAAATTGATATAATATTTCATATGATAAATATTGTCATCCTTGATGCAACATTTGGTATAATGTTTCATATAATAATTTCCATACTAATTCATATTACATATCCTATAATGGCAATCATGCAAATGGGTCAATCATTCTGTTGAACTCTATTAACGATCCTCGTAAGTGACAAATTACGAACATTCGAAGTTCTAGGCCCTCCTCCTCTTTCGATACTAATCACAATAGAAACTTGAAATTAATAATCCCGAAACTTTACCCCTTCGACGCAATTTCCCAGATCAACGTAACAACGCTGGTCCCGCGCTAATCGCCTTAAGCCGGAGATTAATAATCCTCGCACGCTCGCGACTCGCTTCCTCCGATTTCGGTCCGAAATTTTCTGCGGTCGACAGTTCGAACGACGGTGACCTTTCACTGTTAATCGCTTTATGGAGAAATTGCAAAGTTCGATCCACACCTGGGAACAGTTCTTAGTTTCGTTATTTACGTGTACAGACACGTACTAGTTTCTGAATACATGGTTATCCCCACCTGTTGTGACGCGAATTCTGATTCCGCGAAGCCAGAGATTTCGCATCTTCTCACGATGATCGTTAAGGAAAAATCAATCGGTATAAAATGATGATCAGGCCTAGTCATCGTCGACGCCGGGTCTACCTCTAGGAAATTCGTCTCGCCGGAAATATGGCCAAGTGCGATCCCGCCCGGTGAGCATATGCCCGGAAACTACTGTATTTCGAAACAGTTTCCAGGCTCGGCAGTAATTTTCAATTTTGCATCAACCGGACTATCCGGCAACTTTTGTTTTACAACTGTTCGGAACAAAACGTTTGTAGGTACACGTCGGACATTAAGAACATTACGCAAAACGTGTTTCGCCGGAGCGCGTTACGAGGTAACGGTTCAGCGAGGCGCGCTCGATGGAAAATTGTCCGATGCTCGCCGACGCTGCGCCAAGCCACACCGCTTGTACATGATCGGCGTTCACGATTTTCTACGCCCACGCCGCCGCCGTGGAGCGACGCGGCGACGGCGGCGTGGCCACCTCTCCGGCTTTTCGCCGCTGCTTTATGCCGAGCCACACTTGCGAGGAAGCCGGGAATCGTGGATCGTGCTGTTAAAATTTCAGTCGTGGACCGGATACCGGAAACGGACGAGGATTTCGTACCTTACCAGTACCTCGCGTTTGCTTTTACGAGCCCTTCGGTGCTATTAAAGTAGTTTAATAGGTTTCAGCCATGGTTACACTGTGCCGGAAAATAAAACATTCGTGATGTCAGTTTAAAAAATAAAATCTACCTCGAAATTACTTTTATCTTATAAAAAAAATTACGCATGTATTTCTTAATCCCGTCGGAGGTGAACGATTTTACACGAGTTTGAAAGATCGTAAGTAGATTCCACGACATCGCGTATTCCCTTGGCCGTAGCTCGTGTGGTCCGTTTTTACGATCCATTCGGCTATTAAACTTTCTTAATAGGTATACGTTACGCTCTTAACGCGTCTTCGTCGGATTCTTTTAAATCTACAGTAATCGGTATACCGTTAGTCGGATCCGCCTCGAACTCCAAGAGAAGAAGAAGAATAAAGCTTGCGTTACCTGGATGAATCCCGCACGTTAATTTGTAAGTTCCCCCGTATTTAATCCAGATGAACATTGCGAATGATCCAGCGTTTTCTCATTAACTCTGTTCCAATCAAGTAAACTTCACCGCGAAAAGAGAAGCGACATGAAAAAGAAATGAGAAACTGAAAGAGAGAATTACGACGCGTAATCAGCCGCGGGTGAGACGCTCGAACCGTGGACAGTTTACCGCTATACTCGACACACATACATACACGTTTATATCGAACTCGACCGTGTTGCTCGCGTGTTTCAGCTAATAGTGCCCAATTGATACCTTATCACAAACGGTTGCGTACGAATTACGCCGGTATTAAACGCTAGATGTTCCGGAAAGTAGCGCCGCAGACGTGGAATAAACTTCCCTGCAACGCTTCCAGCGTTCTACATACTCTCCCGTCCTCTGTACTCGTCGGTAGACTGGATCAAATATGTGTGAAACACTGAAATACAAGAAGTTTCTGTTCAAATTAACACTAGAAAGACTGACTGCTTTTGGGCAATATAGGTATAACACATATATATATATATACCGGA